AACGTAATGCCATTGACTTCAGAACTGTTAGTATTGATTTCTATCAGTAAAGTTAAAGGAGCCTGTGGATTTCCTTTCTTAGAAGAGCTAGGTGTTACTTCTTTTTATTCTAAACTTGCCACAAAAATGAAAACACTTCTAATAGAATGGAAATTATGAGTAGTGTGGACTTCCAGGCAATCAAAACATTTTAATGTTCTCATTAAATGTATAATTTACAGCACATAYATGTTGAAAGAAATGTGTTTCTTTTAGTTAGTAGAAGCACTGAGTACACAATATGTTTGAACATGTTAGGCTTCCACTGTAACCTTTGCCAGAACCTTAGAAATTTGGAGGAAAAAAATCCCCTTTTTCTTGTGCCAGCATCTTTAAAGACAGAGCCCTTTTTGTCATATTTATGCAAAAAAAAAAAAAAAGTTATGGAAACTTGATAGATTGTGCGAATACTGCATGCACCTCAGCTGATAAATATTGCTATTAAATGCTCTTAGGCTGTCCATCACTCTGGATTTTTCTTATGCATGATGCAGCAAGTGTTACACACGGATAGAGGCCTTTCTAAGGCCAGTTTTGCAATCTGGAGAGTTTTGGTATCTAGCTTTGGGAGACTGGAAAATGAAGGTTCTCGTAAAGAAACAGTTACTGTAACAGCAGCTGCTTGAGTTGCTTCATCCACTTGGCTGCTGCTTGTAAACCACAGATCCTAGACAAAACACCTAATTCAACCAGTTAAATAATATGCAAAGAGTAAATCCTAGTTCTGATAAAAGGAATGAGTGCTGATATTCACTCTGCAGAGGCCCAGATTTTAATTTTCTCTGACAATATCAAGCTTCAGAATAGTAGGTGAACACCAGGGAAAGGGTCCTCCCCAAAGTATTATTTTTAAAAATGTGTTCATCAGAGACATAGCCAGATTTCAAAAGTGTTTTTATTAGAGATAGTGTCTTTTGCAGCCAGGATCCACATGGAATCATGCACCAGGCCTAAGCTGGAGAGYGGAAGCTGTTGTAGTGTAGCTTTGCTATTTCTTTTTGTTGTAGTGTTGTTCCTATAGTAGTTGCTATGAAGTAAATGTTTTCGAGATGGTTTGCTTAATGAAGAATCCTTTTTACAATGATATTTGGGATAAATGGAGTTTGTAAATCAGACTCTATGGTTCCTATTAGAATGTTAATGATCTCAGAGAGATGGCTTGGGTCTTGAAAATAACCTAAGCTTTGAGGGATTCAAGTCCCTGAAAGAAGTGTTAGTATCATGAAAACTCATGTTTAAGGCTTGTTTTAAAACATAAAAAAAAAAAAAA